ACCCCCTTGGCTGCTCTTCCCGGTGCACAGAATACATTGGGCAGGGCAAGCAAACACCCCGGCTATCTTTAGGCGATTTTAATCCGCAAAGTGGCAGCTGAAACTATGAAATATGATCTCAGCCAGGGGGAAAGCCAACCTTTGTGTGGCAGGCAGGGAGTCAATATGCCTTTCCTCGTCTTGAGGGAGCAAAAACTATTTATAATACCACACGACCCAGGAAGGAAAGAAGTAAAATTGGACGACGATTTGTCCGAGATGATAGGAGGGCTCCTTCTCGAGCAGGGGGTTGGACTAGAAGACCTCCCAGTTCCCTTCCAGCTCTCTTATTCCGTTATTCTAACAAGTAGCAGCACTGGAAAAAATGAGATGGGTGCTGTATTCGTTTTTCATGTTCTTTTTCCTTCCCAGCATTAATGTTTCTATAAGTTTGAAATGAGTTCTCCGTTCATGCAGCCAACAACCGGAAAAGCTTGCGCTGCTGGAAGGGCCGAACAGCTGTTTTCTTTGTTTTCCCCTGGCTGCCTGCCTCCCAGGGTGGGTTACTCAGAGGAAGGGGAACCACGCTGCTTCCTCTTCTGGTCCAGAGCTTCAGAGTGCTGCCCGGTTCCTCCTGGCAATTTCCCGCCCAGCAGACACCCCCTCCCCCGAGGCAGCCTCTTCAGAGAAGCCCCGATGCAGCCCGCAGACCACTGGGGACCCCGTGCCTGTCTCCCCCTGGCTAGGAAAGGCTAATCCCAGCCAGGAGCTTGGTTAGGGCTTGCCAGAGAGGTGGGGGGCAGGCGGGGCGGAGGGGCAGAAAGAGCCGAAGCAAAGCTTGAAACCAGAGAAGTGGACGCTTTTTCAGGCAGCAGCAGAAACGCTGGCCTCAGAGGCAGGTCTTCTATACTAGAGAAGGAGTCCTGACCCCCAGTCTGGAAAGAGCTGTTCCACTTGTGCTGGGCCCAAGTCAGGAAGCCAAAGATCAGGCTGGTGCCCTTGGCAGCCTCCTGGGCTGGGCCCTGGCATTGGTGAGAGCCACTTGCACAGATCTGGAGCGCCTGAGAAGACTTTTTGAGCCTCTCTCTGGGTGGTTCTCTTGTCTTCCTTCCTTCCTTCCTTTTGCCCGTGTGCCTTTGAGTCAGTGACCGCCTGAACCAGTCCTTGCAGTTTCTTGGCAAGTTTTTGGCTTTCCATTGCCTGCTTCCCAGGGCTGGGAGATGGTGGCTGGTCCAGGTTCACCAGCTGGCTTTGTGCCTCGAGACCAGTGGTGGGATTCAGCCGGTTCGCACCACTTCGGCAGAACCGGTAGCTAATTTTTTGTGGCCCAGGCCCAGCACGGACTTCCGGAAGCGGCATCCACACAGAGGACCGGATGTTCACCTATTTGAATCCCACCACTGCTCAATACCAGAACTTAGTCTCCCAGTTTCTAGCCTGTTGCCTAACCACAACGTCAATCTAGCTCTGGTTAAAAGCTCCTTCTGAGTGCCTGTATCTTTTTTCTTCTGCTCAATCACGTCCGATTCTCAGAAACTGCCTGGTCTTCGCTGGAGACGTTTTTCAGAAGTGATTTGTCATTGATTGCTTCACAGGGTGGAGAGAGAGTGACTGGCCCAAGGTCACCGGCTTGGCTTTATGATTTACTGGGTCCCAGTTTCTAGCCTGGTGTCTTCATCACAACCCCCCCCCCCCACGTTCTCCCCACTCCCCTTGCTGAGCCAATTTCCTTCAGAAAATCATTTATTTTTATGGCTTCTTTTATGATGGCATTTCCATGGCTCCAGTGGGCTCCTGAGCAAAGTATCTTTCCAAGTGGTGCTCCTATCAGTTTATGAAAGGCTGTTGGCAGGAGCAGAGCAGAAATGAGCTCCGGGCATTATCAGTTTGGTGAAAGTGATTAGATGAGATTGTGAAAGGAACACATTGTGACGATAAGGAGGGGTTGGGAGGTTGGTTAATGAAGGAACAAAGGGTAGAGGGGAACAAAGTGTAGAGGGAGGCACGTGCTGTCTCTGCTTCTCCCCCCACCCCACTTCTGTGGGGCAATGGGCAAAAAGAAACGCTGACTTCTCCTTTCCAAAAACTACCCTGTCCTCTTGTGGGCAGCACCCACCGTGCCTGTGCAGGGCCTCCGCCTGCCCCCTTCCTTGCGCCAGGCCTTGCCCTGCGAGTCTCGGGGGCTGCTGTGTTGGCAACCCCCCTGCCTGGCAATGCCTGGCCAGGGAGGCTCCAACCGGGCCACCCGGATCCACGCAGGGTTTCAAAGCTTACACGGAGGGCAAAACTTCCAGCTTCCTATTCATTCCTTTCCTGATCAGAGGGGGCGCCCAGCAGCCTCGGGGCCCGGAGTGGTCTGGGGGGGGCACAGCGCCCAGCGCTCCCCAAAGCCCTGAAGGCTCGGCAGAGAGAGAGACACACACAGAGAGACGTGTAGCGGGGAAGGAGGCGGCAAGTTGGCGCAGCGGCCCTTGAGGAAGAGTTGGGAGGATCTGAATGAGGCAACACTATTTCCTGCAAGCCGCCTTGAGTCGCCGTGAGCGAGGAGGCGGCAATATAAAATTTCCAAATAAATTAAACAGAGAGAGAAAGAAAGAAAGAAAGAAAGAAAGAAAGAAAGAAAGAAAGAAAGAAAGAAAGAAAGAAAGAAAGAAAGAAAGAAAGAAAGAAAGAAAGAAAGAAAGAAAGAAAGAGAGCGGGAGGGGATCCGCGGGCTGAGTCAGACGCTCCCCGGGAAAAGCCACCCGGGACGTCCATCGCGGCGTCTTGCCCTCCTCCTCCTCAGCCCCGCCCGCCAGGTGGGGGAGGCGGCCCCGCCCACCGCGGCCCGTGGGGGAGGGCAGCCCCCGGCCCTGGGCCGCGCCCACCGGAGGGGCGAAGCGAGGCGGCGGCGGTGGGTCATCGCGGCTGTCCGGGCCGTCCGCCGGGCCGGAATCCGGGAGGCGCCGCTTGCCCGACGGGGACGGGCGACCCCTTCCGCGCCCTCGCGGCCCCTCCGTCCCTGCCTCGGCCGGCCGCGCGCGCCGACTCACCTGCTTGCCCCATGGGCGGCCTGCGCGCCGACGCGGGCCCGGAGCCGCTCGCCCTCGGGACGGGGCCCGGGCGTCCCTCGGGCTGCCGGCGGGGGGCTCGGAATGAGGGGCCGAGGCCCGAGCCGTGCCTGGCTGCTGCGTCACCTCGCGGGGCGGGCTGGCCTCTGGCGGGGACTTCGGCCCGGCCGGACGCCGCAGAGCCAGACTGGGCCCGCCTCCCCGTCAGCGGCCAGGCCGCCACATCTGGAAAGCATCTGCGGGCGCCCCGCCGCCCTGGGCAGGAAGACCGGCCGGCTGCTTGCCAGGGGCGCGGGAGAAAAGGGCCCCCGGGCTTCTCCCCCGACGGGCCGCGCGGAAAAGGCCTCGGTCCCGGCCTAGATAGTCGCAAAGAGCGACTGGGGCTGGATAGGGCTGGATCCGAGTTACTCTGCCCATCCGGCCCTTCATCCATTGTTCGAGATCCCCACACCAGCCCCTTTAGCCGACGGGTGGGTGGGCTCCGTCGCCATCAGCAGTTTGCCACCTTCTCCGAGACGCCTCAAAATGGGGCTCAGGAGGAGCCCCCCCGATCAAAGACACGAACACGGGGAGCAGCCTCCCCCTGAAGTGCCAGCAAAGGTCACCAAGCAGGACCTGAACCCGGATCCAAAGTGATCTAGAGAGCCTCCTTTCCCTGGGAGTCTTGTGCAAAGGCAAACCCTGCGTCTGAACTGGACCCCGTGGCCCTCCGTGTGGGAACGCAGCCCTTGGAAGCAGCAAGAGGCTCCCCCCCCCCGTGGGGTGGCAGAGCGGTGCCTGTTTTAAAAGCAGGCCGGGTGGGAGCACCACGCCAGGCTTCCTCTTCCCCCAGATGTTCACACTTCATCTGTTTGCTTACAGAATTTACGTTCTCCCTTTGGGTGGTTTCTTAAGTTTTGGCAGCTCCCACGGATCGCAGTTTTTGGCGCCAAGGGCAGAGGAGGTGCCGGTGATTTAGAGGTTCCCCACCTAGGCTGAGCAGAGCTTCTGAGCCGCAGGTGAGGGGCCCGCCCAGGCCCGGACTTCAGGGCACAAGGAGAGCAGCATCTGGGACCAAGGCTGCCAGAAGTGGGACCTGGCCCCTGCCTGCCGAGGAAGAGATTCCAGAGGTTCAAGGGCCCAAGCCTGAAAGATCCTCCCAGCCAAGATGACGGTCCACCTAACCCCCCCCCCCATCGAAGGCCACTTGAGCGCAAGAAGCAAGAGCCTGGAATCCAAACACGTTGCCAGAGTTGCACCCAGAAGGCAGCCCTCCCTCCCTCCCACACACACACACACACACACAAACACCCCAACAGGCTGTTCTGCTCATGGGAGTTCTGGGGACCTTGTCTTGAGAAGTGGCTGCGCACACTGGAGAGAGGCTGCCCTGCCTCTAAGTGCCTTCAGGTGGAACAGGCAGCCAGCTAAGGCTGGCAAAGGCTATTTGTTGCCCGTTTCCTCCCCCTCTGAGTTGGCACTGCCATTTGCCTGCCTGGCACTGGCTGGCCCCTGGGAGCAGATGGGCAAAGGCCACCCTGCTGTGTCCTCAAGGTGAGGGGCTGATGGGAAGAGTGAGTTGCCCAGCAACGCGGATTATCGCTGCGCTGCCGGATTGTTTTATAGGCTCTCCAGAGGGGGCTCGGCACTCTTCCCTCGGAGTAAACGGACTGCGAGCAGCTACCTCCCAATTCTCCTTGCGGAAGGTGGCACCTTCATTCTGCAAAACCGGCTGCTAGAGCCAGCTGTGCTCCTCTGCCTTCGCCCGCTAACAGTTGGCTCATTCAGAGAACACATCCTAAGCGCAGAGCAAGCATTCCCCCCCCCCCGCCCTTTGGTGACGTGTCAGGAGCTCAGCACTGCGGCAGTTTGCAAAGGTCTCACCCAGCAGCTGCTAGGCTGACTGCACGTCCCTCTGGAGCCCCCCCCCTCCATCCTGCTCCCCCCAATAGTACATTTTCAGAACAAGAGGTCTGACAACTATGTTCCCACCTGAGCCTTCAGGGTCACTGGAAAATGCCTCCACAGACCTCAGTCAGAGGGCCAGGTGGACTTGCTTGATGGAGGAGACTGTCCCATCTGCCTTCCCTCCGTCCTTCGGTCCCAAATGCTCCTGGCGAGGAGTGCTTTGCAGGTGCAGCCCTAGGCTGGCTCAACTGGTTTGGGCACTGTGTTGTAGCTTTAGGAAAAGAATAAGGAAACATGAAGTGGCCTATTGCTAAATCTCCTCCCCACCCCTCCCTCCTTCCTTCCTGTCACCCTCTCGAAATGCACCTCCTGGGATACTCCAGGATTCCGCCATCATGGGAATTGGCCTTCTCTGTCTTCTGGATGGCAGTGATAGCGGCTGGGGGCCATTGGGTCTTCTGGAGCACGTCTCCTTCTGGGCTCCTTCTCCAGCATAAGGCCTTCCAGCCAGGCAAGGAGGGATCAAACGGCCTGCCTGTGAATGTCCTCAGCAGAGGAACTGGGGATGACATTGAAGAAATACCTCCTAAAGAACCATGAGGCATCTGGACCACAATTTTATTGTATATCACTTCTTTTTTTTTCCACAACAGAGCAAAATTTCAGAACACAAGTTTATGACTTTCAAATCAGTTAAAATGCCCCAGGATAAGGCAAACTACTATGCCTGTGTCCATGGGGTTTCCTCGGCTGTTCCTTGATTAGGCTCTCTGCTTATCTAGATGTTGAGTGCTGAAGAGGATATTGTCAACTCTACAACTAACCTGGCTTCAGCTATCTTTGTCGTTCTAAGTTGCCACAAGAAGGGGAGGGGGACGAGGTATTTCTGCTAGTCTAAATATGAATAGATCCCGTGGGAACCAAGGTCATTCCCACACTGTAGTGGAGAAGCCTGCCAAGTGGTTCTATTGGAGAATGTGATTTATACCTAAATAGGAAGTTGGGGACTATTACACTAAATTACTCTAAATCTTTGGAGTGGATTTTAGATTTGGTTTCACCTTTGACTGTGCCGACATTATGTATCCAATAACTATGTTCTTTGAGGAAATCCTGTGCCTCGCAGTTCTGATTTATTTGGTTTCATTAGTTGGAACCTTGACAGATATATTCTGATCTTTTTGCTTCTTTCTGAGCTTTTTTAAATGTCTCTTTTAAATGGTTTCTAAATGTAGTTTATCTCTGTTTTATGCACATTTATGTACCATTTTACACACTTTGTGTAAAATATAAAACAGCATTTATATCTCTAAATGCACTCTATTTTACAGACTTTTATTATACACCATTCACAAGAGACAAAGAAGAGCTAAGAGTTCCTTAGCGGAACTTGGTTTAGCTATAAATAATTCTGGGGAAACACATCTTTCCTTGGAATGCAGCCAATAGTCAATATGAAAATCGGGTTTTTAGAGGCTGCTATGCTGGGCCTCCTTTGGGAGTTGGCTTAAACATCTTGGTTCTGCCTTTTTGGGAGGACCATATATGGTACAAAAATGTGAAACCACAACCAAAGGAGGAGTCTTTAAGTTTCTATTATAGACCTAACTTCTTATTAGCCATGAGGAACACAAACCCCTAAATTTGCGTTCCAAGCACACTAGCTCTAATTCTTTCTGTGGACATAATTAATTTGAAAAGTAGAATGTATCTACTGATAAATCTAGAATATCCTGCAAGAAATTTCTTTTAAATTTTACTAACTCTTATTCTGTATTTCTGGACTCATGAGTAAGCCTGGAAATTGAAATTTACATTGCAGTTCTCCATATCTTTCTGTCCTCACATTCCATCTTTCCCTCATGTCCACAGGCTGCTTTTTGTTCTTTGAACTTCCCACCTCTTTCATTCTGAGGATCTCCTCAGCTTGTTGAAAGCTATTTTGGAATATGGAACATAGAATAATGAGGTTGGAAGGGACCCTGGAGGTCTTCTAGTCTACCCCTGACCTTGGCAGGAGACCCATTTATTTCAGATAAATAGCTGTCCAATCTCTTCTTAAAAACCTTTGGTGATGGAGAACCCACAATTTCTGAAGGCAAACTGTTCCACTAGTTAATTGTTCTCACTGTCAGGAAAGTTCTCCTTGGTTCTAGATTGGATCTCTTTTTAATTATCTTCCACCTGTTACTTCCTGTCCTGCCTTCAGGTGCTTTGGAGAATAGGTTGACCCTCTCTTCTTTGTCACAGCCCCTCAAATACTGAAAGACTGCTATCGTACCAACACTAGTCCTTCTATTCTTTAGACTAGTTCCCTCAACCATTCATTATATGGTTTAATGTCCAGACCTTTGATCATCATTGTTACTCTTTTTGACACTCTTTCTAGGGTCTCAACATCTTTTTTGTGTTGCGGTGACAAGAATTGGATGAATATTCCAAGTGTGGCCTCACCAGTGCAGTATAAAGCGGTGCTATCACTTGATGTAATGCAACTAGGACTGCATTAGTTTTATAGGCAGTTGCTATACACTGCTGGCTCATATTTAAGTGACTGTCCACTAGGACACCTAGATCCTCTAACAGTTGCTACTGTTGTGCATGGTACCACCTATTCTGTATCTGGGCATTTGGTTTTTCTTGCTTAATAGTGTAAAATCTTACATTTCTTACCATTGAATTGCATTTTGTTGGATAGGGCCTGTTATTCAAGTCTGTCAAGATCCTTCTGGATCTTAAGTGTATCTTCCAAAGTGTTGATTATTCCCCTCCCCATCCCTAGCCTGATGTTGTCTGCAAATTTGATGAGTTATCTTTCTATCCCCTCATCTAGATCATTTGTGATGAGGGGATAGAAGAGGAACTCATTACACTTGCAGACCACACAGTGCTGGGGAGGATAGCTAACACTTTAGATCAGGGGTCTGCAACCTTGTTAACTTTAAGACTTGTGGACTTCAGTTCTTCTGCTGGCTGAGGAATTCTGGGAGCTGAAGTTCACAAGTCTTAAAGTTGTCAAGGTTGCAGACCCCTGCTTTAGATGATAGATTCGATTCAGAAGGATTTTTTCTCCTCTCAATACAGATTCCATTTGCAAGAAACCAGCCATGACCTTTTCTATAGCTTTTTCATATTTTAAAATTTCTCCACCCATTTTCCATTCTCTGACATTCTACCAAGCTACACATATTAATTTATTGGCACTAGGTTTTATTTCTGTTAAAAAAAATTAAATGTATTTTGAAATCATTCACTCTTATTTTGCTTGTCAAACACAAGTACCTGGATTTTTTGGTTCATTATAGATGTTTTCACATTTATATTTCCCACTGAATCAGGCTGAAAGATCCTTTTTTGGATAGGTTATTAAGGAAGATGAAAGAAGGGATGGGCCCACTGCAAAGAGAAGAGGGCAGAAAGGCAACAGTTGATGAGAAGTTGCAATATCTCAGCTAATTGTGATGATACCAAAAAGGATGACTCACATGATCAAGACATCTTATGCAAGTATGTGTAAGTCATAGCATTTGCGTGATTGTGTCCTCACATATATGTTGATGTTTCCCCCTTTCCCCATCCTTCAGATTCCCATGTAGAACCTTCCAAAAAGGAACTGCATTCAGGTGGACCTTGGCACCGAAGGAACTCTTTGTGCAACCATGCTGGTTTCTAGAGTGTCTTGTTTTTCTTGCTCTGTGACATTGTTCTTGTTTGAGACTTTAGTATTTCATTTATCAGGGTTTCCTAAGCATCTTGAACTATTTCTCCTTCTGGATTTCCATCCTTGGAATCCTTCCTAATCTCTCTCTTAGTTTGTTGAAGTCAGTTTGTGTTCTGTTTCTGTCCCTGCATTATGGGGAATTCTAGTATGATATAATTACTCTCTCCCAAAGTTCCTATCACTTCTACCCTCTCCATCATTTCATCCCTATTAGTAAGAATTAAGTCCAGTATTGTTGACCCTCTAGTTCCCTCCTCTACCTTTTGTCTAACAAAGTTGTCAGCTAGGCGTCAGGAACCTGTTCCATCTTCCACTCCCTGCAGAGTTTATTTACCAGTTGATGACAGGGTAGTTCAAATCTCCCATTACTACAGGGATGTGTTTCCTGCACAGTACAATCTTGACAGTATCATTTGTTGATGCACCTAGAATTCCATGTCATTTTTTGTTTGCAGCTGCATCACACTCTTGGCTCATGTTCAGCTTGTGATACACCAAAAACATCGAGATTTTTTTCACATTATTCCTGTGTGCTGTGGTCCTCCCATCCTATCTCTGTACCTTTGATATTTTCCCCCAAATATGGATCTTTGCATTTGTTTTTGAAGGAACTCGGCAAGGTTCCTTTAAGGTTGTTCCAAACATTTTGGAGAACTAACCACAGATCTTCTGTGGATGTAGACTGCCTCAAATCCTTCTGTCTTCTCATGTAACCCCAAACAGACTCAATGATGTTGAGATCAGGGTTCTGTGGGGGCCAAACCCATCACTTTCAGGAGTTCTTGTTCTTCTTTACGCTGAAGATGGTTCTTAATGACGTCGACTGCATGTTTGGGGCCATTGTCCTACTGTAGAATGAATTTGGGGCCAATCACATGCTCCCTGATGGTATAAGCCCTCAAAATGTCACTCGTATTAAAAAAAGAAAGATTGATACAGAATGTAGAGTTTTAACAAGACATGGACTTCTAAGTATTTATTTACCAAAATAAAAGGTAAAGCCGTGTGATTAGTTTGTGGAGTATAGATCGCTGCATTTAAGAATTACAATTTGAATCACCACTAGGTGACTAAACATGCAGAGAAATACAAGAATTTGACTGATTCAAAGCTGGCATTGGCATCTGATGCTTTGCTAGCTAAGCTGCAAACCCAACAAGGACTTTTTTTTATCAAACTTCACACATCCAGGGACGAAGCAGAGAAGACCAGTTATGTGATATCCCACAAAATTGCAAAAAACAGTAAGCCACTTTCTGATGGGAAGTGTAACAACATCCTTCTTCTCTCTTTCATTCGCAAGCACACCTTTTGGCCAGCACAGCATAGAAACAACAAAAACCGACTTTGGCCTCAAGCATCTTTATGCCAGCCTGGATCTCTAGAGTCCCCTGCAGGTGAGAATGTCATCGTTGTTCTTGTTCTCTGGGCGCAGGACGGTAGTTCACCACTGCTGTCTTCGTGCACATTTCTT